CGGGCTCTGTCTCCAGCCGAGGTAGCTTGTTGAAAATCACGGGGTCCAGAGACTCCAAGTGCCGTTTTGAGGCCATTTATATGTTGCTGCCAGCGTCCCAACCGGGACGTGCGATGGGAGAGGTGAGCTGGCCTTCCTGAGCAGGAGAGAGACAGAAAATAAATGATGAGCAAAGCAGGTCCCCATGGCTAGCGCTCAGCCTGGGGGGGGAACAGCACGGGGTGACAGGCTCCAGCGAGGGCTCCCCACAAGTCAGCTTGCCCACATGGTGGCCGCAGAAAGTGTACTAGTTTTCATGCACAGCTTTTCCTCATTCATTTGTGATGCTCAACATCGCACTGGAAGGCTAAAGAAGAGGAGGGAGCCAAGGAATGCCCTGCTGGCCTCGCAGTCAGCCTCTGCTGAGGGCAGTGGGGACTTGCTTCCCTTCTCCTGTCCTCCCGGCACCTGGCAGAGATCCCAAAAAATAAAAACCCACTCCAATTGAGAAGCAACATTTGATCCTCAGTGGGGAAGCTAGGGATCCAGCCAGGTGCTCCCCTCCCTCGGTGCAGTGCTGCACAAGCCAGGGTGGGAGCCTGAAGCTGGCAGGGGCGGGGGGGGTCTGTGACCTTGGCAGGCTGGCCAAGTGTTTCTCCATCCGCTTCCTTGGAAAAGCCCTGAAAAGCTCTCACTGCTGTGGTTTCAAAGCCTCAATGAGCGTCTGTTGCAGGCAGTGGGGAGCACAGCCGGGTCAGCTCAGGGGAAGAGCCAGCAGACTGTGGCGAGGCACAAACACAGACTGCCCCAAATCCCCCACCAGTTACTCCTTTCCAAGCTAATTTGAGGCTTTTTCTCCAAGGCAGCAGTCTGCAGCGTGGGGGGACCCTCTCCCTAATGGTCTCTTCTGATTTTGGGCTGCTGCTGCGGTGGGGCCCAGGTGCTGGCCCGCAGTGTCAGGCAGTGAATGCCAGCAGGTGGAGCTGGCAGACCATCCCAGCATCCTTCCCGGGCATCGTCCCGTGTCCCCTCAGCATCACAAGTATCTCCCCAGTATCTCCTGGCATCACCCAGCATCCCTCCAGTACTGCCCAGCATCTCCTGAGCATCCCACTGAGACAACTGAGCATTGCTTGAGCCCCAAGAGCATCACTGGAGCATCACCCAGTATCCCCCCAGCATCACCTGGCATCACCTGAGTATCGTGTACATCACCCAAGCAAGCCCCCAGACCCACCTGAGCATTGCTGGACCATGGCCCAGCACCCTCCCAGCACGGCCAGACTTCACCCAGCATCCTCCCAGCACAGCCAAACATGATTCAGCATCTCCCAGGCACAGCCTGGCATCCCCCAAGGCCACGGATGGATCTCATGTCTGTTCTTCACCCCACCATGGTTTGGTTTTTTTTTTTTCCCTTTTGTGGCAAGAGTTAGCAGAGCAGCAAAGAAGGAAATGGAGGAAGAGAGCGTGGAGATAAGATAAAAACCTTGTCCACAGAAGGGGAAATGGAGCAGATAATGGGGAGACTTGCAAGGGTAGATAAGGGACCCGAGCGTGGTGGCTCCGCTCTGCAGCGCGGCTGGAGCCCAGCGCCGAGATGGGGGTTACAGGCCCACCGGCCACCCAGCCACCAGCGTGGGTGCCCCTGCCCAGCCACAGCTCAGCGCCCAGCATGCCCGGCCCAGGGGGGCGAGGGGATGGCCCCGCACAGACCTGCCTCCCCCCAGCCCCAGCAGCTCTGGCGTGACCGAGAGGGCTGCACTCCTCTGCCATTCCTTCAGGTTGGATTTCTTTTCCAAACTTGCATAATTTTTTGCTTTTCAGGGAGGAGGCTGCTTCCCTGGACTCCTCTGAAATCCTCTTTGGAGGGTCGATGCTTCCCGGCGACCGAGAGGAAGTGCAGCTCCCCGTACCCTGGGAAGCAGCTCCCCAGAGAAAGGGGCCGCGGGCGACCGCATCGTTTCCAACAGCTTTATCCTCAGGAGCCTGAGGGTATTTCCAAGGCATCCAGTAACAATTACATTTGCCGTCATGTAGATCCAGGGGAAAAAACACTCCCCTAAAATTGAAAAAGATTGGAGGAAAACCCCCAAAACCCCCAAACCCCTGCTTGCCATGCAAGACTCTGGCCCAAGGCAGGAGGTTGACCTGCGCTGTCCCTCTTCACCCTGGCTGGGGGGGGTTGCTGCAGGCTCCTCCATCACCACATGCTGACTACATTTTTGGGGGGCCCGTGACCAGGAGGAGAAGCAGGCTGCACATTGCCCCCCAAAACGAACCACGGCCTTTCCTTACTGGGAGAGGGATCTCTGGGGAGGGGATTGTTTAAATCCATCTCCCCAGGAGATGCTGGCATGGGAGGGAGACGCAGGCATGGGATCCCTTCCATGCAGTGATGGTGCTCGGGGTAGACAAGCTGGGACAGAAACCTGGGATCTCGTGACTTCCAACATGTCCCCGCTGCTTTTTCCCCTTTCCCTGAAATGCACTGATCTACAAAACCCGCAGCGTCAGGGACGTTGTGCAACCGGCCGCAGGACTGGGTTACGCTGCCGGGCACATCAGCAACACCGATGCAATCGCCCCGTTTCCAAATCTCCTGCAACCGCAGCAGGGGAGACCCCTCTTTGGGAGAGGGGGGAGGAAGGAAAAGGCCTCATAACCCCGTTATGAGGAGACCTTTTCTCTCGGGAACACCCCAAGCCGTCCACAGCAATTCAGTGGGAAAGCAGGCAGCCAGCTCTGGCTTCCAGCCCTGCTGGAGGGACGCGGAACAGAGCAAGTCATCCCACAGCAGCAGCCAGAGCCAGCCACATGGGTTCTCTGATGTCTCATAGGGGGTGAGCTCATTAACCTCATTACGGTGAGGGCACTAATGGGCCCCCTCTTCCCATGAAATATACTGGGGCTTTGCCCCAGCCGCTGCCATCCCTACCCCTGCACCATTTGAGAGGCAAGAAAACAGCTCCACGCTTGCTGTCACCATCAGCCCTTCCCCTCTGGGACCATCCCCTCGCAGCCAGGATGGTGATGCCCCCCTTCTTTCCCCCCAGCCGCTGGAGAGCTGCTGGGGTCTGTGGGGACTGGAGGGGCACCCGGGAATCGGGGCCTCCTGGGTGAGTGCTAACACGTGCAGCCAGCGCTTGTGATACTGAAACTCCACGGCTGGGGAAAGCAGTGGGTGGATTAAACACAACCGATTTAGTCCTTTTTTTTTTTTAGTTAATTTTTTTTCCCCTCCTCCTTCTTCACAGGTTTTTTTTTCCCCAGAAGGGGCTGTTCAGCCGGGAGGGAGAAAAATAAAACCAAATGTAAAGGAGCACGTGCCGCCCCGCTGCGTGCAGGCAAAACCTCCCCGTCAAGCACCCGTGGGCCGCAGCCAGCTTTATCGGCCGCATTTCAGATATCGAAAGGGCATGGGAGGGCTCCCTGGTGTGCCGAGGCTGCCGGGGATGGCTCAGACGGCTTTTTTTGCTCCGACAGCTCCAAACAAGGGTAGCCGTGTCTGTTATCGCCAGAGCAGCCAGGCACAGCACGCGGCTCCCCAGCGTTTCCTCCTCAGGATGCGATGCCCTAACGCGGCTGTAATAAGGGGGAGCCTCTCATCGCAGCCTCCCGCCTCCTCCATCGCCACGTGATGTGAAGAAACAGCCGCCAACTCCCAGCCAGCCTGCAGGAAGCAGCTATCAAGAAATAAAACCCCAAAATCTCCTAACCCCGCCAGCATGAGACATCCCCAGCCATCCTGCAGCCCCCACTCGAGTCACCCGCCCAGGGTCCCGCGGCAGAGGGCCGCCAAGGGAGGGGGCTTCCCCCATGTCACCCCGAAGCAAGTGGACTTCTCCCCCGGTAAGAAGGCGGTTTCCCGTCCGGCTGCAATACTGATTTCACAATCGTGGGGACCTTGGGTCCCTGCCGAGGAGGTCACCTTTCCCATCTCTCCGGTGGGCTTGGATGCGATCACTGGCAAGGCGCCCCCCCACTGGGGTCATCTGGGGGGGGGCAAAGAAGCAGCCTCAGCGGTCTCAGCTCCCTCATTTCATACCTTATCCCTCTCCAAAAAAGTTTGCAGCCCCCGAGCTCCTCCTGGGTAGGCAAAAGCCCAGCCGGAGCCATCACTCGCCCCAAGCCAGCTGCTTTTTCAGACAGCATCCTCACCGAACACACACAGCGTGCCGTCGCCCGTGTTGCAAATTAGGTTGCTATTCCTGAAAAAGCCCCAGCAATGTTCACTTTTATAAAAAAAAACCCCAAACTTGATGAAGCGACTAGCAGCCACCAGAAGGGCAGAGCAACTGCCTCCAGAACTACAGCTGAGTATTTAGGGGATTAAACCCGCTCCGATACACAGGTACAGATGCCTCGATCCGACTCTGACCCATCGGTGTCACCTCCCAGGTTGGCCATGGTCACGCTCCCACCTGGCCATGAGGCATGGACCTGGCTAGGCCTGGATGGCTGCTGTCCATCCTTCTGTCCCTTCTGCACATCCACAGCCACAGCGTTCGTGTAGGCAACGTTCCAGTGACCACCACGATGGCCCCCGGCGGGTTTACACCCCGGCAGGGGAGCTGAACGGGCGCGTTTGGCCCCCTTGCTCACCAGCCGCACCATCTAAAGTGTGCATAAATGGGTAAAAACCCCGGGAACTGGCGCCCAGAGCCCATGGATCCCATGGAGCCCAGTTCTCCCTACATCGCCCAACGAGGAGCCGATGATCCGGGGGAAGCGGTGGGTGCGGGGAGCCCCTCCTGCAGGGTTATGCCCCCGGCCGGGAGCTTCGCCCTCCGAGGGGGTAC